CAAGCATGTAAAAAAGAAAGGTCATAACCTTTGATTTTAGGTGGGCGACCAACTTCTTTTTTTGGTTTATTTTTTTCTTCTTTTTTTCATCTGCGAATAGTTCATTCACTAACATTGCAAAATTCTCTTATTTCTTGTCAGGAGAAATTTTTTTCTCGTAACTTTCTGATTTGTCAAGGAGTTAGTTTGGTGATAAGCTTTTTAGGTTTGATTGTTTCACTAACTTCTTTCTCTAAGGGTTCTTCAAACTTAACTAACTCAGGAAGTTCAAACTTATAAATATTTTGGCTAAAATCTTGAAAGAATTTATTTGGTTGATTCTCGTTTATCGAAAGTTCTAATCGACCTGCTATTTCAGAGATATATCTTACTTTTTTATTACTGTAAAAAGAATCTTTTAATCCTGTTTGAGTATCGAAGAAGTCGTATTTTCAAAGATTGCTATCGATTAGTTTTTGCCCTTGGAGGATTTTAGCAGTAATAGTAGTTTCCATGATTTTTAGTAATTATCTCTTCGATTACTTTTCCCCAGTAAGTAAACAACTGCTATTACTACTATAACTAACACAACTCCTATTCCTCCCAAAATATAAGGCATGTAATTAGTGGGTTTCTTTTCTTCTTTTAGTTCACTTTGTAATCTACTAATCATACTCCCTAGTTGTTGCCGAGATAAGGAAGTATTGTGATTATCCACAAAATAACTAGTTAAGGTAATTCTAATTTCTACTGTTAACTCAATAAGAGCAACATACCTAATTTCATGTCAAATAGTGTATATTTTTAGATTATAACTACCAGTAAAGTAGCTAGGATTATAATCTATTTTCTCAATCTCATTTTTTTGGTAATAATTATCTAAATCCTTAAAAGATTTGAGAAGTTTCTGTTTGTCACTTTTGTCTCTCTCTCTCTCTCTCTCTCTCTCTCTCTCTCTCTATGACTTTGAATATCCCTTGTTTAATAGGAAGTTCAAATTTAACTTGGCATTTTTTTCAGCAAGGAGAACAATAATCTCCTTCTTTACTATCCCCTTTGTTTTCTCAGAGTTCATAATATTACTCTACCAATTAACGAAGAATGATAAAAGAGCAATTTCCACCTGCTCAACAATGAGAAATTTATAAATTTAGAACCAGCCCCAAAGAAACGGAAGGAACCGAAATTATGAAATCCCGCCCTGGCATTATTATCTTTTCTAATGAATTAAATAAATGAGGTAGCAGATACATTTTCTTACCAATTGCCAGTAAAAAGTTCGGTAAAATTTATCCTTTTGAAATTTTAATTAACTTTCAAGACAAAAGAGGAAAAGCATTGCCCGACCAAATAAAAACTTATAGTCATAGTCGGATTATAAAAAAACTAGGAATATTAGACCCTAAATATTATTCCGAAATCGAAAAGAAAGTTAAGGAGGTTTTTGGTTGAGATAACTTATATAAAAAAATGAAATCAAATTAGACTGATAAACCATGGAAAGAAGTAAATTTTTACATGAAAAACTACTCGAAGAGTTTGGAAGACGAGAAATAAAAAATGTCCTTCTTCCTCCAATAGTAAAAGAAAATCTTAATCCAAATTTTCCTCTTCGTCCTTATCAAGAAGAGGCTTTCAAATATTTCCTTAAATACTGAGAAAACGAGTTTCCTGGTAAACCAAAACAGAACCAACTTCTCTTTCTAATGGCAACCGGTAGTGGCAAAACTCTCATGATGGCCGGTCTGATTTTATATTTGTACCAACAAGGCTATCATAATTTTCTCTTTTTTGTGAATAGCACTAATATTATTGATAAAACTCGGGGTAATTTTTTAAATGACATTTCTATCAAATATCTCTTTAATAAAGCACTCGTATTAGATGGCAAAAAGATATCTCTTAAAGAAGTAGAAAATTTTCAAACTACTAATGAAGAAGGTATCAATATTTGCTTCTCCACTATTCAAAATCTCCATAGTCGCTTAAACATTCCTCGTGAAAATAGTTTAACTTATGAAGATTTTCAAGAACAAAAAATTGTCCTTATTTCTGATGAGGCTCACCATATTAATGTGGAAACTAAGGCTAAAGTTCAAACTGGCACGAGCGGCGAAATAACTGTCAACGGTCAAATTTCTCAAGAAGAAAAAGAAGAACTAGTTTCTTGAGAAAATACTGTTAACCGAATATTTAAGGCTAATCCGCAAAATGTACTTCTAGAATTTACTGCTACTGTTGATTTCAACAACCCCAGCATTTTAAAAAAATATGCTGAAAGACTTATTTATGACTATCCTTTAAAAAAATTCCGAGAAGATGGCTATTCCAAAGAAGTAAAAGTATTGCAAACTGATGCAGGACTTTTTGACCGAGCTCTACAAGCAGTTTTGCTTAGTCAGTATCGGCGTAAAATATTTGAGAAAAATAAATTGCTCATCAAGCCAGTTATTATCTTTAAATCAAAGACAATAAACGAAAGTAAAATTTTTGAAGAAGAGTTCATAAAAGGCATAAGGAAACTTAATTCTGAGAAACTCAACGAAATTAAAGTAAATACTCAAGATGATACATTAAAAAAGGTCTTTGAATATTTAGAAAATAATAAGATTTCACTGGAGAATTTTGTTATCGAATTGCAAGAGGATTTTTCCCCCGAAAAGACCATTTCTGTTAATAGCAAAGAAGAAAGTTATGAAAAACAGATAGCGGTAAATACTCTCGAAGATCCTAATAATGAGTATCGTGTTATCTTTGCTGTTGACAAACTTAACGAAGGTTGAGACGTGCTTAACCTTTTTGATATTGTTCGCTTATATGATACACGGGATGCCAAAAATAATGTACCAGGACCAACTACCATCCGAGAGGCTCAATTAATTGGACGTGGGGCTCGATACTGTCCTTTTAAAACCAACGATTCTGACAATGCCTACCAGCGGAAGTTTGACCGTGATATTCAAAACGAGATGAGAATTTGTGAAGAATTATATTACCATAGCACCTACAATCCTCGATATATTCAAGAATTAACTTCTGCTCTGGTAAAAACTGGTATTCTTCCTGAAAGGGCAGTAGAAAAGAAACTTTTTATTAAGAAAGATTTTAAAAATACAAAATTTTTTAAAACTGGTATTTTATTTCTTAATGAAAAAGAGAAATATTCGCGAAAAGACGTATTCGGACTTCCTTCTTCAGTGCGAGATACCACCTATAAAGCATCCTTGTGAACTGGGTTCAACCTTTCAAACGATCTTTTTGGAGAATTAGTGAAGAAAGGAATTGAACGAAAAGAAAAAGATTTCTACTTCAAACAGTTTAATACCACGGTTTTAAAAAAAGCTCTTTACAAACTTTCTTTTTATAGTTTCTTCAATCTTAAAAAACACTTCCCTAACCTTGATAGTCTTGATGAGTTCATTTTCCAAGAAAAATACCTCCGAGACATTAAAATAGTTGTTTCTGGACTTAAGAGCCAATTCGAGAGATCATTGAATGCTGATGAACAATTAACCATCGCCGTAAAAGCGCTTGAACAAATCGCAACCAATTTGTCAACTAAAAATTTGGAATGAAGAGGTAGTAAGGAATTTAAGCAATATTTTCTTCGAGAAAAAATTAGTGATAAAATTCTCAACTTTGCTACTAACAACGAAAATAACGAAAGAGAATTGGGCAAATCAATGAATGACATTCATGAAACTAATATTTATCTTGACATCAATAACAGACCTTGATATGTCTTTAATGATTGTTTTGGGACCTCAGAGGAAAAGCAATTCGTGAAATATATTGACAAGCTCCATGATAAACTGCGTGAAAAATATGATCAAGTTTATTTAATTCGCAATGAGCACTTTTTTAAACTTTATACTTTTGAAGATGGAAGTTCTTTAGAACCGGATTATGTTCTGTTTTTAAAACAAAAAAGTTCTCCTAAAAGTCTCCATTATCAAATATTTATCGAACCCAAGGGTGAACATCTTAAAGAAAGAGACGCTTGGAAACAGAAATTTCTAGTCTCTCTTAAAAAAGAACACCAAATTGAACAACTATGAGAAGATAAGGAGTATGTCATCTTAGGCATGCCTTTTTATAACAATAATGAAGAGAATAAATTTGATAATGAATTCAAAAAGGAACTTTTATAAATTTATTACATATGAAAAATAAAGAAAAAAAAAATAATTGACCTGCTACTCTCTATGTTGAAGGTCAAGACCAATTTCGTGGCTGATTTAATTCTTCCTTAATCACCTCGGTTATCCTTACTGGAAATTCTCCTTATCAACAAGTGCTTTCTCATGGCTTTGTAGTTGATGAAAAAGGGCAAAAAATGTCTAAATCTTTAGGTAATGTCATTGATCCCGAAGAAATTATTAGGAAATTTGGAGCTGATACACTCCGTTTATGGGTAGTTAGTTCTGATTTCACCAAAGAAGTAAAAGTCAGTATTTCCATTTTAGAAAAAGTTCAAGAAAATTACCAAAAAATCCGCAATACTCTAAGATTTATACTAGGAAATTTAACTAACTTACCACCTGAAATAAAAAGTGAGAAAGATTTAGAAAAAAATTTAAACTTAATAGATTATTATATACTCCACCAATTAGAAAAATTAGTTCAAGAAAGTGTAAAGAATTACACAAAATATAATTTCACTCCCATTTATTCTTCTTTATTAAGTTTTTGTATTAATGATTTAAGTTCCTTTTATCTAGACATTAGTAAAGATAGTCTGTATTGCGACCTAGTTTCTTCACCGCGAAGAAAACAAATCATTACCACGTTTTATTATCTATTAAAGGGATTATTAAAAGTTATCTCGCCAATTTTGCCTTACCTTGCGGAAGAAGTTTATCAAAGCATTCCTTTTAAATACGGTTTTGCTGATCAAGAAAGCGTTTATTTAGCAAATCTTTCATCTAACATAGACTTTCCAAAAGATTTGGAAAAAAAATTAGAAATAATTAATAACTTTTTTCTTCCTCTGCGCAAAGATGTTTTTCAGGCCTTAGAGAAAGCTCGCCAAGAAAAAATTATCACGACTAATAATCAAGCCAAATTAACTATTTATTTTAAAAAAAAACCACCATTAGATTATTCTGAATTAAAATTAATTGAATTATTGGGAATAGCCGAACTTAAATTTCAAGAGAAAGTTGAAGAAAGAATGCAAGAAGGAAATTTTTGTTTCGTTTACGTTGCAAAAACTGAAAAAGAACGTTGTTTACGTTGTCGAAATTGAAAAGATTTAAAGGATACCCTTTGTCTTCGCTGCAAAAATGCTCTTATTCTGATTACTTAAACAAACTTTTAATTAGTTTGATTAGCATATATAACAACCAAATAATTGCTATCAGAACAAGTAGAAAAATTAGTAAATTTAATCACCTATTTTTAACATAACTCCCTAACTCGCTAATACTACTTATCCCTTTTTCTGGCCACTCCAGAAATTTTTTTAGTCATCGAAACATAAATTTAGTTTAATTTTAGTATTTTTATCTTTAAATGCCTAAATTATTCCTCGTTTTACAGAAAACATTGCTACTATTGCAACAATGATAACTATAATTAAAAACACTGCCAGTCAACTCGTTCCTTCAGTTTCCTCTCGTATTAATTCGCAACGATAAAATTCTTTTTCTTCACTAAAACCAGTAGGATCAAGTTTTCCTCGATAAATGACTCCGTACTTTTTAATAACTAGTTCACTAGAATAAAACTTAACTAACTCTATTCCAGTTGAATTGTGCCCTAAATGATAAACTCACAAAGCGGGATTTCTGACATCAGAATCATGTTTTTGTCAATTCTTTTTAATTTTAATACTAACTATATTTCCTTCTTGGATAATAACTTCATCAGTTGATTTTACTATAGTAATAAAAAAAGTTAGTTTATCTTGCATTTGTTTTTATTATTTTATTTTTACTGATTTATTTTATCATCCGGCTATGATATTTTATGGCACGCCTAGTAGGATTCGAACCCACGACCTTTTGATCCGAAGTCAAACACTCTAATCCACTGAGCTATAGGCGCTTAAAAGTTGTCAATAAATAATGTTTTAAGAAATTCGTTTGCTGAGTTTATTATTGTCGTTGCAGAAATTTAGATTAATATTTGTTTTAAATTGTTATTAGCAAAGAAAAGACTACTAGGTGAGGAAAACTTGGAGCAATTAGAGAATTTAAAATTGGCTCTAAAAATTTATTGAAAAAAGGTAAAAAAGAAACTTTTTTATTAGAATTAGGAATAGATAAGAAAAATCCAAATAATCACTAAAAATAAATAATTTTGGTGGAAGTGATGGGATCGAACCCATGTCCTATAAATATTTGATAATTACCTTTACAACCATATTCAGTTATGT